CTAGGATGCAATTGACATGTATGGTGTGGCAAGGCTGTCGGCGGCGACAAGATCCCAAGATCCGCGACCAAGAAACACTCCGTGGTGGTTTGGCACAGCCAAACCACCGTGCAACGTCAGCTTGCTCATCCGCTGACAGCAGCACGCCTCGCGGCGGCAGAGCGCAGTAGCGCCGCGCGGGCATGCAGGGCCAGCGAAGTACGATGCTCCCTGGGAGCCGACGACGAACTGTGCCCGCGCGCTGTTTCCCTTCCTGGGGGGGGGGAGCGCGCGCGAAGGCCGCCCGCGGGCGCAAAAAAAGCCCGCCGGCCCTGTCGGCGCGCGTGCGGGGCCCGTCTGCTCGAGCCGTCGTCTCCGTCGGGCGTCGCCTCCGTCGCCCCCGCTCCCTTCGAGTAGGAGATCGACTACAGAATTGGTTTGCCCCAGACTCGATTCTTCTTGTCGAATCCACGGGCAATTCGTAGAACTTTCGCAGGTCTACGAATGGCCGACGTATTTTTGTTGAAGAGTCGACGTGAAAATCAATTTTGGGGTAAATCGATTCCGTAGTCGATCCCCCAGTCGACCCCTGCACCCTCCTCCCCGAGCTCGTCGGCGAGAGCAAAATCTAGCAGCGCCGCAGACGAACCGAAGGGAAGTCCCTTCCGGTTGATCACTCCACCGTCGGGGGAGGGGGAGGTCCCAGGAGGGAGGGGGTCTGGCGGCCGGGGGTCCAGCAGGGTGGGAGGGCTCAGATACGCATCCCCACCCGGGGGCCCCGGGGCCTTAGAGAGCACCAAGTCGGCTACACGCAAGAGTGACCCTGGGTAAGGGTGACCTTTGGTGCGCGGCTTTTGGGGGGCCGCGGGGGGCCAAAGGTCACTCCGGCGAAAGGTCACTCTTACATCTAGTCGACCAAGGCAGGCCAAGAGTACACCAGGAGGCCCCCGAGGCGGTCCAAGAGGGCCCCCAATCGCCAAACGCATCGGTCCAAAACGCCTTGTCCTCCAAACTGCCCAGGAGGCCTCCAGGACGCCCCAAGACGCCTCCAAGAGCACTCCCGAGTGGGCCCAAGAGGCTAAATTCATTGATTTTCCCTTAGTTGTTTCCAGATTTGGGCATTCTCGCCTTTTCCATTTCCCACCGCTCCAAGTCGGCCGGCACACGAAAGAGGCCCCCAAGATCGCCCCAAGACGGCCAAGAGGTCTCCAAGAGGGCCCAGAAACAGCCCAAGAGGACCCTACGGCAGCCCAAAACGCCTCCAAGACGGCACGAGAGGCCCCCAAGACGGCTCCAAGAGCGTGCCCAGACGGGGGATCCGAACGGACATTTCGAGCCCTCGGCCCCAAGAGGCTCCCAGGAGGCTCCAAGAGGTTTCCAAGAGGCCCCAAGGCCAAAGAGAACAACAAGAGATCCTTAGGAAGCCCGAAGAGGCCCCCAAGAGGCTCCCCAGAGGCCCCCACGAAGCTTCCAACAGGCCCCAGAGACCCCAAGAAGCATCTCTGAAGACTCTGGCCGACGTCAGCGTCGTCGTTGCCGGCGCCGCCACTGTCGTCGTCGTCGTCGTCGTCGTCGTCGTCGTCGTCGTCGTCGTCGTCGTCGTCGTCGTCGTCGTCGTCGTCGTCGTCGTCGTCGTCGCTTCCGCGCGTAGGAAAATCTTCGGCGGCAACCCATGGGAGCCTCCCATACCCCATACCATCTTGTCGGCTCTTGCGAATCGACGCTCATCGACGCTGAATCGACGCTACTCGACGCTACATCGGCGCTAACCGACGCTAAGTCGGCGCTATCCCATAGACTCCCAAACGCTAATCGACGCGAGTCAACGCTAAAGACGGAATGACGAGGGTAGACAAGGCTCCCATGATTTGATTTGGAGGCCTGGAAATGAGCACCAACACCAACACAGGGGGTTGCCTCCAGGGGGAAGATGATCCTCGATTTCGGTGCTGGTGGTAATGTTTTCGGCCACCCTGAAAGCCAGAATATCACCACCATCACCGAGACCGGGATCTTCTTCCCTCGGTGGAGGCATACCGCCGATATTTGGTGTTGGTGTCAATCTCTAGGCCTGAGTCGGGCGTGTCCCCCTACAGGGGGATCTGCGACGACAAATAAAAGATACTCCATAAACAACCCAACATGGTCATAAAATACTCCGAACATAGTCCCCAGAAAACTGGTGGACTACTTTTGGACATTCCCCCTGTAGAGGGACAGGCCCGACCTAACTCTAGGCTTATGTCGGGCCTGTCCCCCTACAGGGGGATTTTCTACGAAAAATAAAAGAAAACAAAAATCCCCCCCCCCCCCAAAAAAAAAAAAAAAAAAATCCCCAGACTATTTCTGGAATATTTTTATTATGTTGGGGAGTATTTTTTTATTTTTCGTCGAATATCCACCTGTAGAGGGACAGGCCCGACTTCACCCGAGGCCTGCGAATGACTCGATCTGCCGCCCCAAAAGACACCCGCTCCCGCGGCGCCTCCGGGAGGCCACGCGGCCTTCTTTTGCCAGACGC